TAATGTTGTAAGAGACCCCAATAAAATTATTATTTTTTAAAAGACGGTAACTCTTTCTGAGAGTAAAAAGCCTCATCTTTCTCCCTAGGAGCAGCTGCTGGTGGTTTTGAACTGCTGACATTGTGGCTAGAAACCCATGTGTAACCACTACACCACCCAAACTCCTGCAAACAGGTAGTAAGATTCCAAACTGGGGCCTACTGCTGCCAGGATAGAGCCTGATACCTTTAGCCTAGCTGCTCACCATTAGTTTGTGCTTTAGCTTCACCTCCCACCACTCAAAAACAAATCCCCAAGTCCAAAAGCACTGACCAGGAGCCCTAGTGACACAGCGGGTAGACCCTCAACTGCTAACTGCAAGGCCAGCAGTTCAAAACCACCAGCCAGCTCCTCTCCTCAGGAGAAAGACAGGGCTTTCTCCTCCTGAAAACAATTCGTCTCAGGAAACACACTGGGCCAGGTCTAACCTGTCCTGCAGGGTCATGACGGATCTGCATCCAACGATGGTCATGAGTGGGGTGGCCAGAGTGACACTTTAAACCCCTACCTGCCACCCACTTGTAAGCATAGAAAAAGATCTCCCGAGAGCGAACTCAAGCCCTGGTATTCTGCTGAAACGGTTCTTTTCAGACCAGCAAGACCATGTAAGCATCCTCCTCTCCAGACAGACATAAGAAAATGAAAATAATTTACAAGACAGAGATATATAATCCACACACATGTATGTGATATGAGGCGGGGGAGGGGGCGATGAATCTGTAGGAAATGGGATTAAAAACATTGGAATGTTTCGTGAAGGCCCCTCGCACATACTTATCTACAATATGCCTTCGGTTGCTAACCACAAGGTTGTGTGTTCAAAACCCGGTACCAGACACAGGGGAAGAAGAGGCAGTCTGCTCCCACAAACATGCAGTCCTGGAAACTATGTGGGGTCCTTGTGAGTCTGAATGACTCCCTAACAGAAGCATCAGTGCGCCTCCCGGCCACCTCCCCTGGGCCCAAGACACCCAGCACTTCCTGAGTTGGGCATCTCTCTCCTGTCCAATAGGGGCACGGGACCCCAAGGTCAGCAGGAATTCTTTTCTGACAAAACTTGACCTCACCCTTTTCAACGCCAGCCAGCGCTTTTTAAGGGATGATTCTAGCAATAACCCGGGGCTTTCTCGATTTTAGCAGCTTCTAAAATGCAGTTTGCACGAGGAGCAGTCCGCCCCTAATCCTTTCTGGACGGCGCCCTGCGATAATTAAACAAAAGCCCAGAAGCCGGTAGGCAGTGAAACCCTTGCCCGTGGAGTCGATCCTGATTCCTGTCAGAACAGAACTGGGCTCGGTGGCCGTGTTGCCCGAGCCAGATTGGAAGGTTGTTTTCGTTTTGTTGCGAGTCACTTCTGGGTGGACTTGAACCTCCAACCTTTGGGGTCCTCGCTGCCGTCAATTCCGACTCCCAGCGACCTTCCGGGACCGGATAGAACTTCCCACGGGTGTAGAAAGCGCCGTCTCTCTCCTGCGGAGCGGCTGGTGGTTTTCGAACCGCTGGCTTTGCAGTTAGCAGGCCAAGGAGTCACCATGACGCCACCGGTTAGTAACCGAAGCAGTCATCGTTCGCGCGCAGTGAGGAAGCGAGATCCCACCGATCACACACACACACACACACACACACACACACACACACACAC